ATCCATCGGGCGAACACCAACATGGATCAGAGATCCATGGATCCGGCGCGTGGGCGCCAGATACACTGATCGGGGGAGGTGCCCCCCGAAACATTGAGACCATGCCGCCCGATGTGGCCACGGAGCGCGCCGATTTGGCACTGAAATGAGGCCCGTCGCCAATCCACGCGCTGCCTCGAATCCAGCCACTCTCTCTCCGATTCTTCGTTTGTCCCCCCGACCGCCTATAATCTCTTCCCCTGCTCTTGTGCTTGGGCCGTTCGTAAGGATAGCATGGAGCGCAGCCAGCACAATTGCCTGTCCTGGTCCCACCTAATGTGGCGATGGAAGAAGTTGATGCCCGCGCACAAGAGCTGCTGCTGCAGGGCGTTGAAATGCTGCTCACGGGGGGGATGTAAGTAGAGACGAAGGAAAACGAGGAGAGCATCAGCAGCAGGAGGGACAGCGGAGAGGATAGTGGCAACACAGTAAAAGGGTATGAGGGCGGAGGTTCACACAGCGTGAGACCAGTGAGGCGAGAAGGAAACCTTGTGGAAGATGACTATCAGAAGGAAGGTCACGAACTGCACTGGAAGGGTGCAGGAAGGAGGAGCAGCAGCAGCAGGAAGGAGGACCAGGCAACATGAGACGCCCGCGGACGAGGCGATGAGGGCAGATCGGAGCAGGCAGAACAGAACATTGAGCGCACCGACTGACTGGAACATCTGTTTTACACCTCGTCGCTTCGATTGGATCTGGAACGTCTGTGAAAGTTGGGCAAAGACTACGAGAACGAGGATGAATTGCACTAGTGTATGGTAAAAGAGGGGGAGGAGGAGGAGGAGGAGAAGGAGGAGGAGGAGGAGGAGGAGAAGGAGGAGGAGTCCACGTACTCAGGGGGGTGAGTCGTGCAGTTACACTATGACAGATTAACTTGAGAAGAAACGCTCTGGCAGCCTCCAGCCTGGGTCTGGACGCCGCCTGGGTCTCGATATGGAAGATTCGTTGACTGGATAGAGCGCAGGTTCCGAATTGCCTGTGGCCTCGAGACCGCATGCTCCTGTTGAGCCTGGCACGCGAGCAACGCAGAGCGCCTGGCCTGAAGAGTAATGCTATACTGACCGAACAGATGAGGCTGAGTGGCGAGCTCAGCTCTCAGTTTATGGAAGATATGGAAACTGACTGCTGTGAGCTCGTGCGCACGCTCACGGCTGATCTCAGCAAGACCGTACTCCTCTGGAGAGCCAAGACCGAGGCGGACAATGGGGTCAGAAGGGAGGTGCACACGACCAGGAAGAGCTAAGAGGTGAACAAGGCGTGGGCGAACGATATAATGTGATATTGCGTCAGGACATTGCTCGCAGCCAAATCTGCAGTTGAGGGGGGTCAAACTATGAATTCTGTGGGACGTAACCCACGCTCCTGCAAGAGTTTTGAGGTGAGCCCACACACGCATGGGTGGCGACTTCTTCAGGACAAACTTAAGCGCCTCCCATCGACATCGCAGCTCTTCCTCTCTCGGAACAGAGGCGGGCGGGAGCCACGATGAGAGGCGGCAATGGCACAGGAGATGTAACGAGTCAGGGAACAGAAGAGCGGTGAGGGAGAAAAAAGGAAGGAAAACAAAAAAAAACTTTTGTTATATATATAAAAGAAAGAGAGAGAGAGAGAGAGAGAGAGAGAGAATATATATATATATATATATATAAAAAAAAAAAAAAAAAAAAAAAAAAAAAAAAAAAAAAAAAAAAAAAAAAAAAAAAAAAAAAAAAAAAAAAAAAAAAAAAAAAAAAAAAAAAAAAAAAAAAAAAAAAAAAAAAAAAAAAAAAAAAAAAAAAAAAAAAAAAAAAAAAAAAAAACGAGATTGGATGCCAGGACGGCGCCGTCGATCCCTCCCCCCATCCGCCTCCACCGCTAAGGCCGCCGCAGCAGCCTCACGCAGGCGCCGCGGCTCGATGATGTGCGATTGCGGGCATGGGCGCACTCGCGGGTGCCATTCCCCACTCCAGCTGCAAAGCTGCTGGGCAATGCTACCTGAAATGGCCCAGCACGGTGCAGCCCATCTACCCTTCGCCCATGCGACGAAGGTGCCTCGCTCGAGGATAGCCTCTTCGTGACGCCCAACCCACCGCTCCCACCAGCCCCTCAAAGTTCCCGTGGCCATCCTCCAGCCTGCGGCGGCAGTGGCAACGAGCACTGAGTGGGGTGCTCCTGATTTCATCCACGCGCCCAGGGAAAACAACTCTGATCGCTCGAACGAGCTGGGGGGGGGGGGATGCGCAACATCTCGTGCAAGGCCCACGTTTCTTCGCGTAGGATGTGGGGGAGAGATTGGGAAAATTGAGCGATGTAGCTAAGGATTGTGACACATCGCACATTATATAGCATGACGGAAGCTGCTGTTGGCGCCCCCCCCGCACCCAACTCCCTCGCCCGCGCCCGCCACGTTTGCCCGGCAGCCTCCCATTCGTCCTCTAACGAGGCTCCTAGGCCGAACAGGATGCCTAGATATCTGGTGTACGATTCTATGGCGAATGAGCCCCAAGGGGCAACATTGGCTTGCAAAAACGTGCGAATCCTCTCAATGAGGTCTGCATTGAGGCAGGACCACAGCGGCACCAGGCAACACTTTTTGGGCTGGAGGAGAAGGCCAGCAAGAGCAGCAGCAGCCTCGAATGGGGGGAAGGAGGGAGGGAAGGTGTCGAATGTTGCCTAGCGCGGCCCCTACGTCGCCGGCACAAGCTCCAAGATCGTCTGCTGGGCCTCCAGCTGCTTCCAGAGACGAAACAAGAGCACGCACGAGGCGGCCTATTCCCAGAGCCCAGAGAGTCCCCGAGAGCGGGCAACCTTGAGGGGCCCCCGAAGAGAGAGTGAAAAGTTCTCGAACCTCAGAACCGACACGGAGGAAGCCCACTGCATTGCACATCAGGGCTCTGGTAGCACACAAGTAAGGCTCTGGGAGCAGGTATCTCTAGAAAACTTTCTTCAGCCAGATTTGATCCATGCTGGGGAATGCTGCCTTCACATCAAAGCTGACAAAAACTTGCATTCTTATGTCTGCATCTTCCCCTAAGCTTGCAACACGGCAAAGTGTGTCCAATCGCACGATGTGTCGAGCAAAATTGCGACCATTGGCGAATCCTTGCGGCACAGTGTGGGCGCGGCGCTCTGCGACGCGTTTGAGCCGCAATTTAACCGAGGTGGCCATAGCTTTAGCATCGCAATTTGTTCCGGCTGAGTGGCCTGAGCTGGCCAGGCTGGCGCGCGCAATCAACTGGGTCTAATTCGTCTTCACCCTTCGGAATGAAGGCGAAACTACTGCGGTTGAGCGCACGAGGGGGAGAGGTACCGCTAAAGAGAAACAAGAGCAGAGAGTGGAGGACGGTAGCATGAACAGGGTGGGCGAGCCAAGCTTTGCAAAGGAGACGATCGGGGCCTGGGGGGGAGGACTTACCCCGCAGAAGGGCCCTCTGGATGTCTTCGAGGTCAGGAGGGGGGAGCTCGTAAGGCTCAGGGCAGGGGAGGTTTCGCTCTATGAAGGCCTCTTGCGCTGGGGCGTCCTCTACTCTCTCCTTAAAGACTGGCTCCCAGTGCTCCCGAATGGCCTCAGAGATATTCTGTGCACCTCTTACGATATGAGAGTGGGCGCCGTGGCCCTCTTGCGCATGCTGGATACCCTGGAGAACGAGCCTACGGCCCTGGGGCTTCCAAAGAAGTGCTCGGCGAAACATGATCTCCTTAATCCGCCCCCCACTCAAGTGTCTCCCCACTCCCTCCGACGAAGCACGCCGCAGGGCTCGCTCCGCGCGTGCCTCATTGCAAGCGAGCACCTCGGTCTCGAAGGCCGCTGCATTGCGCAGCTGCACCTCCTGGCCGACGACGAGCAGGCGCTGCTGGCCCGTGGCGGCGTTGGCCATCAGCCGACCAGCAAGCCGCCGATCCTGGCGCCAGACCGCCCGCGCGACAGCCCGCTGCGCCATTGCCTGTGCGTCCTAGCTATCGTCGGTGTTGTCCCCAATCGATGTCTGGAGCAGGATGTTGCGCGTCGTCTCGGCTGCCAGCACCATCTGCCGCTTGACGCACCCCCACTGCTCAGAGGCCGTCATGCTGCCCAGATCGCAGGCGGCAAGGAGGATCTCTTTCTGCTTGTGGTAGGCGGACGCCTCGAAAAGGAACTTCGGCATGGCCTGCTCAGCCTTGGGCGCCTCAGAGCGCGGCTCCAGCTTGAGCTCCACCATCGCATGGTCGCTGAGCTTCCACAAGGAAAACTCCTGCGCGTCGTATCGGATGTTCACAACAATCTTGTTCTCGCGGATGAAGTGGGGAGGCAGCGACGTAAAGACCCGATCGACGTACGTCATCTGGTTCGTGTGCTTGTCGTAATGCGTGGGAACAGGTGTTATGATTTCCGTCATATTCGAGGAGCCGGTGATCAGCTGCCTCCAGAATGGTTCTCCATGGTTGGCGCGCCCTGCTGTTGACCGATGTGCTTGTCGCGCTTGTGGGCGCAGCACGCTCTCGTTCGGGTTGTCACTGTAATTGAGGCCCCCGAGTGCCGCAAAGAGCCGATGTTGTGGGTCAGCATGCGCCCCAATAACTGTGCTCTTGCCAGCAGTCACGAATTTTCTGTCGATGTGAAGCGCCCATCTCATAGTTGGAATGTTGCAGATGAGGACCTCCGTCTTCATCTTGCTGTTTTGGATAGCAATCATTAGAACTCTGCCTTGCACCGCCACTCGAGGAACGTTTCGCGGGATCGCTTCATCATCCAGTCCCGCTTCGTCAACACACGGGACGAGGATTGCTACTCCACCAGCTCCCATCACTTCCATTCCGCTGAAATAGACCTCGAGTTGTATACAATACGATTGATCAAATTCTGCAGTGTAGTCTTGTTCCCGGGAACTTCTTGCAATACGATGATAGACTGTTGTTTCATCCATTCATTCAACTTAGCCATATTCTTGTTTCTCTTGGAACGATCCCAGCACAGCAACCCACGCGCATTCCATGACACGATCCTGCACGGCGCCGAGTCCCCTGGTCGCAACCAGGGGGCCCAGCGAGGGCTCGGAAGAGTACCAGCTGGCCGCATCCACCGCGCGGAAGAGCTGCCTGATGGAGACCATGATCGCGTCCGTGTCCAGCTTGAGCTTGGAGCGCGCCTCTGGGTTCCAGTTGACCTGGGACGGGCCCCCCATGCCCTTGGCGACAACCTCCGCCACGGGCGTCGTGCCGCAGTGTACCATGCCGAGGTGCCGCTGCATCCACCAGTCCCCGACCATGGCGGCCTGGCAGAGGCCCATGAGCTTTTTTCGTCTGGATCTCCACTCGCACCGCCTTCGGGCGCTTGTCTGGGTTGACATAGAGCCGCTCCACCTGCCCGTCCGTGGCCTGCACCGCGAGGTCGCGCCACTTGCCGCACGGGAGCTTGAGATGCTTCGCCATCGCCAGCACCCTGGCCTTGCCCGTCGCGCCGCCTGGGAGGTATATGTGGAGCCTCTTGGCGGGCTCGCGCTCGTTGATGTCCACATGCGCCACCTCCACGCCAGCGGCCTTGAGCCACGCGCCAATCGCCGCCAGGAGGGCCTCGGGGGTGACCACCTTGCTGCAGTTGGCCACGAAGAGCTGGGGGTCAGGCTGTCGGCCCCAGGCGGTAATCCGCAGCATGTCGGGGTGGTCGCTCTGGCCCAGCTCGTCCACCTGCGCCAGTGTGGCCTGCATTGTGCGGATCTGGTTGCGCATCGTAGCATTGTCCTCCTCCAGCTTGGTCGTTGACTGTTGTAGCGAAGCGAGCTGAGCCTGGTGCCTGTCGATGCGCTCCACGTGCGGTTTGAGCTTGTTGCTAATCGCTTGCGAGAGGCTGCCGAAGGAGCTGGAGACGGTGGACTGGAGTGCGGCTGTCGCTGCGTCCATCTGCTGCTTGAGCTGTGCTTTGAGGCGTTCTTCTGCGGCTGCGAGTCCCGCTTGCAGTTGTCCACCATCAGCTCCCACTCCTGCTGCTCGCCACGGATCTTGCACCTGAAGCTGATCGACTCCAGACGCGCTGCTGCCGCTGGCAGTGGCGGCGCTCCTGCGCTCGCCCGAGCGGCTGCGCTCGGCAGAGGCGCGGGCAGCAGCTTCGACCCCCATGGCTGCAGAAGTGTCAGGCTAGAAAGCCACCGCAGGCACTGTAGGGAGTGTGTTGAACAAACCTTGCTCCTCCAGGAGCTCACTCGGTGAAAAATCTTGGAGACTGCCGCGGACTAGCGTATCCTTGCAGGCACGGAGGCGCGGAGCCCCCACAGCGCAAGCATATTGAGCCAAAATGGCTACGGAAGGAGAAGGAGGAGGAGGAGGAGGAGGAGAAGTAGCAGGAGGAGGAGGAGGAAGAGGAGGAGGAGAGAGAGGAAAAGGAGGAGGAGCAGTAGCAGTAGCAGGAACGGGTGGAGGAGGAGGACGCCGAGGAGAAGGAGGATGAGGTGGAGCGTGCCCAAGAGGGAATTCGATGCTCACGCTGAGCCCATAGGAACTCATTTGGACACCGAAAAACACTTGAGGGCGATGCTCACACCTTCGGCCATGGAGGCGTTCTCGGATGGACGCCCCCCCCTGGCTTGGAGACTCCTGAGGGCTACCAGGCGGCGGCAAGTAAAATACGCGACGGCAACTGAAAATTAGGAGGAGGAGGAGGAGCGGGCGAGGTGAGGCCGAGAGATAAGGGAAAAGATTGCGCCTCCCTGCCCAAAGCGTCCACTACGATGCGCCCTGCGCACGGGCACTCACTCACGCAATCGACGAGGATGTATGATTCCCCTGGTAGCCCTACGAGGCGCGCAGACTCTAGACAGCATGCCACATTGATCCCTTGATGTTTCGGGATACTCAACCTGCAGGTCCGAGAAATGTCAAACGGAACAGTCTGAAGCAAAAGACAAAAAGATGAGGTCGCGGTCTGCCACCGAATCTGTCCTTGAAGTTCAAGCGTGGATGCGGGCCCTGTAGTAGGGGGGCCTATGAGGAAGAGTAATGGCACGGTGTAGACACACTGAAAGCATGGCCGCCCCTCCTCTATCCCTCCCTCTCTCTTCACTACTTGTCCTCCTCCTCCTCCTCCTCCTCCTCCTCCTCCTCCTGCTCCTCCTCCTCCTCCTCCTCCTCCTCCTCCTCCGCCTCCTCCTCCTCCTCCTCCTCTTGCTCCTCCTGCTCCTCCTTTTTACGTTAGAGCGACCTTGGGTTACCCTGTAGCGTTAGTCCTCCTCCTCCTCCTCCTCCTCCTCCTCCTGCTCCTCCTCCTCCTCCTCATCCTCCTCCTCCTCCTCATGCCCCCCACGCTGAGCAGTCGCACGCGTGGTGGGGTCTGCCTGAGTCGGCTCCCCGTTCTTGGCTCCCTTCCGGCAACCGTTCAGCTCGTCATCAGGCATCCTCTCGGGACGCCTCGGAAGACGAAGATCGCAAAGAGGATGGGCAGTGGAGCAGGATGACTCGAGAGCGAGGGAGAAGGGAAGGCTTACCTAAGGTAAATCTGGAAATGCAGCGGACGATGATGATGTTGAGGAGGGACGAGGATCAGTTTGAGGATGGCAATAGTGAAGGCGATGGTAATCAGGATGGGCGCCAGCATGAAAAAGCAACGGGTGTGACAATGTTTATGAAGGGCTCTCTATAACATATATATATATATACATATATAAATATGTGTGTATACAGGGAGAGGGAGAGAGAGAGAGAGAGAGAAAATAAAAAAGACACAGCAGATATCTATACATGATAACATGCGTGCAAATATGCATACTTAAATGCACATGCACACACATAAATCCGGCAAACCCTGCCGGCGTGTGCGAGAGGCTGCTTCGTTGGACTTGTCGTCATCAGCGTCGTCATCGTCGCCGCCGTCGTCGTCGTCGTCGTCATCGCCGTCGCCGTCACCGCTCATCCCTGTTCCCTGTGCCCTCCTCCCTAAGCGCGCCAGGCAAAGCGAAACAGCTGAAACGCAATTTATCAACGTCGTAGTTGAGTCGAAGGAAAGCCCCTTCCCATTGATCCCTCCCCCGCCGGAGGGGGGTTCCCGGCGGGGATGGGGCGGGGGTCCCGGGGGGGCCCCGGATCAAAATACAATGCCCCCAGGGGGTCCCAGAACCCAAGAGGTCCCATAAAGGCCCCCAAAGGCCCCCAGGCGCCCTCAAGGAACTGCCAGAAGCCCCGGGAAGCCCTTAAAAGGCTCCCAAGACACCCCCAAAACTTCGTGGAGTTCCTCGGGCACCTCTTGGGGGCCTCGTGTAGCCTCTGGGCACTCTTGGGAGCGTCTGATCCCGACCTCCCCGAATGCCTCTTCCATCATGGCGGTCGTCGTCCAGGGTCGGCGGCAGTGGCGGTGAGGCTTCAGCACTAGGTATAATCCTATAGAGCAGGAAAAGATGAGGGCGGACAGCGATAACCCACGACTCATGCAAAGTACCAGCCAAATATCAGCAAGCACCCGTGAAGTGGCAGGCGTGTCCTGCGAACGCGGCCGAAACTAGGGCCACATGTCATGTTCGTGCAGAAGGAGGGGGAGGAAACCAATGATCCCAAGGGCGTCGGCAAGGGCAAAATGACCTTGGGAATTGCACGACAGGTCTGCAAGAAGGAGCAATACCAAGGGGCCCACCCGAACCCTCCACTCCTACTCGCCCACCCCTCGTCCTCCTTGTGTCGCTTCCCGTCCTGAGAAGAGAGGGGGGAGGCTGGGAACATGACCACATGAAACACGACTGCTGCACATGGAGTGCGGACTGTCAGAAATCGCACCAGCTACGACTGCAACCGCTGGCACGACGATCAGGCGACCAGGCTGCCCCCCAAGTCGGGCGACCAGGCCCAGCCGAGCATACGAGCAGCGATCTCACAACAGGCACACTATAAGACCATGGCCCAAGGGGCGGCCCGATGCTGGCACCCTTGGGCGAAGGGCCAGCTGAAGCCAAAATGGCTGTTCGCGAAACGGGTCGAGTCAGTCCAAGCCGCTGACAGACTGGAAAACAAGAAGCATCGTCCACAGGGAACGCCAGCGCACGAACCCCGAGAAGTTGCGAGGATTCGATTCGAGGCTCTCCATAAACTGCTGCCCGACCTGCCCTTTGTTTCGAAAGAGCTCCGCTTGCGAGGTCCCCCCTCTTCCCAAAAAATATGAGAACATCTTGGAGGACATCGAACTTCTACCCCAGCATGTAAGTCTTGTGTGTGACAACTTGCTGGGGAAAGTAAAACACCGATGGGTGACCCTGGATATTCTCAACTGATAACGATTGCTGTGCGTTGCGCTCGTCGTGGAAGCCAAAACACATGACAACGAGCAGAACAAACACCAAAATCAGAGGAGGTAAAGAACATGACTCAAATAGAGAAGTACGATGCTCTGAGAACATGCGGTGCAAACCATGCGATGCGCATGGACCGCGGCGCACGTGCCGCTCGAGGGCAGGGTCGTGCTGTGACACTCGAACTATTGCTGCAACGAAGAAGCCAGCGCGGAGAGGATGATGTGTTTCTCGCCGTCTCCCTCCATTTTTTCTCCTTGGACGAAGCTCCTCCTCGTAGCACTCCAAGACGTGTCGGCAAGGCGGGCCCGGCGTCTCCCCTGACACGACTTTACTTATGTGATCTTGAAGCTTGACACTCGCGACAGGCACAACAATCCCACCAGCCCTTTGGGCGTGAGTGGTTTAGAGAGCTCTCTCTGTTCTCAACCCCCCTTCTTCCCCTTCGGGGAGGGGTTTACCCCTCCCCCTCCCCCTCCCCCTGGGCCTGGAGAGGGCGCCCCGCGGGTCGTTGGAGGGGTCTTTTTCGACTCCTGGGAGGGCTAAAAAACGACACCCCTCACGAGGATTCTGGCCCCGACGGGGGGAGGCAGAAAAGTGTTCCCCTCTTCTTTGAAGCCAAAATCATTGATTTTACTACGGTTTTGGCCCCATTTTGGCCTTCTGAGGGGGCAGCGCTAAGTAAAGCTCCCCTCTTCTTTCAAGCCAGAATCACTGATGTTACTAAGATTTTGGCCCCATTTTGGCCTTCTGAGGGGGCAGCGCTAATTAAAGCTCCCCTCTTCTTTGATCGATTTCCTCCAAGATGGCCCCAAGAAGCGCCCAGGAGGCACCAAGAGGCCCCAAGATGGCCCCAAGAGGCCCCCAGGAGGCCCCCAAGAGGATCCCAAACGGCCCAAAGAGGCCCCCCCGAGGCACCCAAGACGCCGAAAAGCCCATCAGGACGACCCTCTACTCGCCTGGGCGTCGTTTCTGGACGGGCAGGAGGAGGGGCCCGAACGACTCACACCAGGACGAGGGGCCCGAACAACTCACACCACGAGAAGCCCGAACGACTCACACCAGGACGAAGAGCCCGAACGACTCACACCACGACGAGAAGCCCGAACGACTCACACCCACGAGGAGCGCTTTCTCTCCCTCCTCCTCCGCCTCGTCCTTCTCCCGCTCCCACCACAAGGAGGATGTACAAGGAGGCGGGAGGAAGGAGGAACAGGGGAGATATGCGGGGGCAGGCGGAAACACGCCTGAAAAACACGACTGTCGGCATGCTTCGCTAGAATTGCTGTTTTGAGATGGGCTGGTGGGGATACGCGAAGCGTGAAGAATTAGACACAAGTCGTTTTCAAAAAAGTGGTTTCGCTTTGACGCCGCGCACGTTGGGTTTTATTAGCTTCGAGCATTCAGAAGGATGGGGGGCAAATACTTTTGAAAATGCAAAAAAAAAAAAAAAAAAAAAAAAAAAAACGTGGCGCCGCGCATACTTGTCTTATACGGTTTGCAACAGGTGCAAAGATGCAGAACGACTCCTTTTCACAAAAGACTCTCGCCTGAGCGCCGCGCACGTTCGTCTTAAGAGCTCGAGACGGCTACAAGGGTACAGAGCGATTCTTGTTATTTTTCAAACTGGGGCTCACACATTAGCGTCGCAGCGCTGATACCGTTTGTGATAGTTCTGGTCCTCATGATCCTCTTCATCATCATCCTCCTAACCCTCCTCCTCCTCCTCCTCTTCCTCCTCCTCCTCCTCCTCCCCCTTCTTCGTCATCACCATCATCATCAGCAGCAGCAT